CATAAAGTGACATGTGGACAAGCTAGTCAGTAAATAGTAAATTTAAAATAGAATGTTCGGGTGCATTTTTAAATCAAGGCTTGCTTCAGTACCTTAAATGTACAAATGCCCACACAATCAGAAAGCAAAGTAAACATTTGATGCTGCAAATCACAAAAATGCCCAAACATTCTTATCCACCGCAAAATCTACTATAAAAATAGTATTTTAGTTCTCAAGTAGCTATTCGACGGTAAGTCATGTAATGTATTGCTAGGTGCCACCAATAAGGGCCGCATTAGTCCTAAATATATTTATTACCTAGTAGCCATACGATTATAGTTTAGCTTCGGTTCAACGTCGCGTGGTATACTATCTCAAAAAGCCTAATATAACAGAGTTCAGTGATGTACAATAGACTGCGGCATTGTATTGTTATTTTACCACAACATCTTTATTGTCCCACTAGCATTTTAGCACGTAAAAGTGCCTTTCACAAATGTAGGATCAACTAACGTTAACTACAGATTCACTTTAATTCAGACATTAACTAAGCTCATCCTCTGCAACCGAATTTCCTGCCACTTGTAATAACACTTTCTTTGCAAGCAAAGTGAATTTCAGATAAGTAGGAATACATGGAATGGATGAATTCGGAAGGCAACATCTTCATATGTTTAAACTTAGTTTAAAAAATCCAGCTTTTATATTTTGGGCGAATAAAGCAGTTTGTAAGCAATATTCTTAAGTCGAAAATACTTAGATCCACTTATTTTGAAAATAGCATCTAAGATCATGATAAAAGGTCAAAGCAGCTCCAGCACTTTCCAATTCCCGAATAATTTTATGTCCGACCTGCCGTTACATTTGCGTTTAGCGTTTAAGTCTGCAAGCTGTATGTTTTCACTGTAAGAACAATCATACACCCCTCTATACCACCATGAATAAACTATATATTGTTATTCAAAGTCTGCAAGGGATGTGGTGTATGTTGTGAACTTCATGAGGGGCATTAATAAGCGTACAAATAGTTAACATTTTGCAATTTTAAAAATTCTAAAAATGTAAAACCTTCTTAGAATCTAAATAAATCTTTCCTTTGAGTATAAGATTGGAAAAAATAAGTGAATTTCGACCAACTACGTCCCGTCAAACATATATTTACGTCCAGTTTCCTATAAAATTATTTGAAATTATGAGGACTTGGACAATCGGTAGAAGAGGGTCTGCTACTTGGATATTAATTTTTAGTGTGTGGTTTTTCTGGGTGCCTTCAAACGCCGTAATCTTGCCATGCTCAACACATTCTAAAATTAATATTACAAATCTGTTTAAAATTCAGAAGATGAGTTGGCGAACATACGTTGGTTTTCGATAATTCTCATCAGGCCTTTACATTTATATGGTAATTAAGTAAATAGACTGTGCGGGTTGGTAGAAAAAAGATAGAACGGTTGTTAAGGCAGGGGCGATGGGGGGGGCGGAACGGGGTCAAAATATGATCAGCTTTAGGGGGAACAAACTAAAACGAACATATGTTCGCCAATTCATCTTCTGAATTTTTCAATGGGAATTTTTGCAAATCTATCTAAGTGATCTTTTCTAATAGTTAACTGATTTTAGAATTTTAGTCAATATTTTATGAGATCGGTCACTGACCGTAAACCACAGGGCAGGCAGTAAAACTGAAATCTTCCGAAACCCCCAGGAACCAAGACGGTGTTACACATTAAACAGGGCGATTTTGTTACGTTTTAAAATTCAGCACATCGTTAGTTTTGAGTCCAAAACATTTTGTATTCCTTTAAAGATAGTTTGTGCGGTCTATTTGATGTGTTCATGCATGTAAAGAACAGATAAAACAAGCTCAGTATGTGATTTGCCTTATACTAAAACTGAAACGTAGTATGAAGTACTTCTGGCTCGATGTTTTTCTTTGAAAAGTTTGCAAAGTCTTGATTCAAACAGAATTTGCCGTGCTGTTCCAGATGAATGGAAGAAAATAGTTTAAGAAATCAGGAAATAAATATAGCTAGAAAGTTCTGTCTGTTGGATATTAAAAAGATTTCTCATAGTATACTAGACTAAGTGGGTTCCAGATCTTAGGAAATTTGGACTATCCAGCAAGTAACATGCTATTATATTCCTGAAAGTTTTAAGTGATCAGTATTACTCGTAGATGCGTCTAAGTAAAATTATCATTGAAAAACTTAAAATGAAAATTTGTAAATAACATTTGATAAGTCCTCAAAGACGCACTGTCGACCGGGAATCATTTTGCTTCTTCCATTTTCAAACCCTTTCTGCCTGTAAACTAAAGATTCGGGGAGGCCTCAACTTTTCTCTTATGCAATACGACATAGCAATCAAGAACTAGGTTTGAGATGAAATTACTATTGTAAAAGCCGCCGGCTCTTTAAACATTCCAATTTTTATCTAATCGAAGGAGAACTGTGATATGGACGAGACACAATTAATTGTGGAAGACCAGCTACCGTTTTCTGATTCCTCTTCTGAGCTTACAACCATTCTGGATATGCTTGGTACTATGGATGGCGAGATTAAGCGTCTTCCGGCAATAATCGAAGAGTAAGTTAAATTATTACTATTCGCTTAGTAAGTTTATTCGTTTAAATTCCTATTTGGATGAAGAAATTAAAAAAAATAGAGCAAAGCATGAATAAGTTAAAGCAATAAATTATTTACAAATAAATCGACGTTTTCTTCCAGAATTTCAACCACAAGTATGAAAATATATTTTCCTGACATAAGACATTTTGATAACAGTTATACAAATAAGCTTTCATTACCAATACATAACAAAATGCAAGTGTGAGGAAGCAATTTAATCGCACGTGCTGCGACTCATTCGATGAGACCCAGCCACACATTTAAATTTTATAAGGTCCAAATTCTCGCGAGAGGTGACAATCGTGTGAGTCGCGAGTTACGTGAGTCATGGTTCACGGGCCCCCAATCTATAAACAAGTACAACAACCTGCCCAATTCATGTTCTGTGCTGAGGCCCAATTTGGATAAAGCAAGTCACTAATTGGGCAACGCACTGACCAACGCGTCGTCTAACGCCAATTTCAGGGAACCAGATGGCAGAGAAATCATCACGTGCAATTCTACCACGTGTGATGGAAGTTCAGCAGGTCACGGCTCGTACGCCGGTCATCAAGCAATTAGCGCATAAGCGGGCAATTATCCTCAATAGGGCATTTTTAACTGTCATAAGTGGGCAGTAGCATAGTGACCGTAGCCTGAAAATATTGTAACTACTTGGGCAGGAATTACCCGCTTCTGCTTTTGCCTATGATGAAGGATCTATGACGGATTTCGAAACGTCGGGCGAATAAAAGTCTTGTCCAAGCGATCATATTTACTTCTCCTCATGCGTGTTGGATGTTGGCGCGATGATTGCTCGGCCATTTTTATCATTGACTCTGGCATTGAAAAAAATTCACGAGCGCGCCCTCTTATTGGCCCATTACTCTCGCTAAATTAGGTCTCAGCGCTGAAAGTGGGGTGGGGCGACGTGGCCCGTGACTCAAGCAGTTCACGGTTTATGAGTTGCACCTCTTGCGACAAATTTTGGTCTCGTTGGACTTGAATGTGTGACCGGGGTTTCGAAGCGACTTAAGATTCGACGTCATTTCTCTGTGATATTGTCGTATGCTCGGCCGTTCGCATCGGGAGCAATCGCCCATTTCATCCGACGAAGTTTTGCCCGAACTGCATCAAATCTAAAAACGGACCCCAAAAGTTTCCTCTCGTAGCAGTTGGTCTTCTGATTTAAATGTCTGCATCCAATTGTTGCCACTGAGCTGTGTTTAATTCCAATTCTAAATAATTACTTGTACTTGTTTCGGCTGTGATCATGTCTGACCTAGCCGGCCTCAATGATGTCACGGACGGTACCTCTCCACGCGTGACCATTGACGGCAGCGGATCTGGAAAGCTCTACCCATTCTTTTCTTCAGCGACCGAGACCGAAAATCGCAGGTCCACGAACCGCTTCCATATCTTGACGAACGGTGTCGAGCCAAGTCTTGAGTTGACCACCTCTTCGACGCCTCCAGGTTGGCTGCAGCGCCGGATCGAAGGCAGTGTAGCAAAGCTCGTGAGGCGGACGACAGAGAGCGTGCCCAAACCACCTTAGTCTTTTTTCCTGAATGGTTTGAGATATCATCGCGATACTGCCGCAGCGAGTGTGGACTGTCTCCTTGGGAATAAAGTCGGTATACTTCACTCGAAGGATGGACCTTAGGCAATGGTGGTCAAATACGTCCAGTCTTCGCTCAACTTCCACGCACAAAGTCCAGTATTCACGTCCATAGAGGACGACTGACCGGACGAATGCAGGGTACACACGGACCTTCCTGGAGATGGAGACGTAGCGTTGACCCATAGGCACTTTAGGACGATTGAGAAAAGCCGGCAAACAGCATCTTTTCGGGAGAGTATATCGCACATTGGTAGCAGCCTCATGCCGAGATATTTAAAGCTGCCTAATTCTTAAAGTTGATGGTCATTACTCCGCAAAGGTGCCTTCTCCTGGTCAGGAATGCAGCTAATAAATAACGTAGCCTTTCTGATATTTATTGACAAACCAACCAGCGCAGCGATCTCATTCACCCGCCAAAGTTTGAAGCTAGTAAAGCGATATCATCAGCGTAGTCGAGATCGGTCGGCCGGCATCCGGATACAAGCTCAGCACCATCCTCTTCGCGTAGGGCCTTACCAAGAATCCAGTCAATGACGTAGTTGAATAGACTGAGCGGCAGGACACAGCCTTGTCGAACGCCAGATCGAATAACGAACGATTCTGAAGGGTTGTTATGGACCAGAACCCGCGCAGTGTCAGAGCGGTAGTATGCCTCCATCATAGTAATGATTTTTGGCATTATATCGCCTAGCGCCATTATCCGCCACAGGCATTCACTATGGACAGAATTGAACGCAGCGGCAAAGTCAACAAAGTATATGGCCGTTAGCCGTTGGAAACTATATGGGAATTAAAGAATCCGTCTCCGTGTCAATGTTTGATTCGCACATCCACGTACAGCGCGGAATCTGTCTTGGTTGGGCCGCGCCCTAGAGCCACGCACCGACTGGAACCGCCTGAAAAGGGCAATAGCGAAAATCTTCGCAGCAACGTCGATAAGACTTATGCCACGGGATTTCTCGTTTCTTGTCTTATCTCTTTTCTTGTAGACAGGTACAGGGATACCTGAACCCCAGTCATCGGGAACGGCCTCGTCTCGCCAGGCTTGTCCAATCAGCTTATGAAGCCAAAGAGCCAGAGTTTCGACACAAAATTTGTAGATTTCAGCAGGAATATCGTCCTCTCCGGATGCCTTGTTGTTGCACAGCCTCTGGATTTTATCGGCAACTTCGTCTTTGGAAGAAAGGTTGAACGACACCGCATAGGCTGCATAGGTTTGAAACTCCACTGCGGAGTAGAGGGAGGGTGTGATGGATTGCTCATAAACTCCATCGTAATTGCAAGTAGAAGTTCTGCCTATCTTGCTGTTTGGCAACTGATGCCGGTGCATACACCGAAAAAACAGACATGTTCGTAAAATGAGCCTTTAGTCAAACGTAAGCCATTCGGTTATTGACATGTTCCCATGCCAGTAGTGAACGGTTTACTTGTTCCGAGAGGGCAATAGCCACACCGTGTCTACTAAATGAGT